AAGTTCTATAGGACGGCGATTCGTCCGGCGATGCTATACGGTGCTGAATGTTGGCCTACAAAAAGGCAACATGTCTAACAACTAAGTGTAGCAGAGATGCGTATGTTGCGTTGGTTCTACGGGCACACAATAAGGGATAGAATTCGGAATGAGGATATTCGAGATAGGGTCGGGGTAGCTCCAATTGAGGAGAAATTGGTTCAACATCGGCTGAGGTGGTTCGGACATATCCAACAGAGGCCTCCTGATGCACCGGTGCGTAGGGGAGTTCTACAGCGGGTCGATGATGTAAAGAGAGTAGAGGTCAGCCTAAACTCACTTGGGAAGAGTCGGTTAAAAGAGACCTTAAAGATTGGAATATCTCTAAAGATTAGCGATGGATAGGAGCGCTTGGAGGCTAACAAGTAACGTGCCAGAACCGTGACTTTTGCTCCTTTCTCTTTTGCTCAAATATCTTCCTTTTGTTTTGCGCCATTTTTGTGTTTCTCTTACCATTGGTTCTCTTGGGTTTCATCTCTAGCCTACCCCAATTTGCTTAGGACTAAAAGGCTATGTTGTTATTGTTTGGTTGGTTCTAGACTATTCTGGTGTAAACTCAGTTGAGTAGCCGACTTATTCAGTTATGTAGCTATTATCCAGTTTATACTTTGTACATCGTGTTATTATTTATAAAGTCTACTATTTCTAAAAGAAAAAAAAAATACTGAATAATTGAGATATCAAAATTCACACATGTAATATACAAGCATACAAGGTAATAAACAACAAAGTTGCATCACACGCGGGTTTCTTGCCTTTTCATTCACCTATCAGATTCGCAACCTTCATCAACTATTTATGACAATGAAAATGCTCAAATCCACCGAGTGCTTTTGGGCAGTGTCCATTCGTTAATCTTGGGAAATTTGTATATAAAAAACAAAAAAAACACAAGTGGATACAAATAAAAAAAAAAAAGAAAATTTGGACCAAAATCAAAAACCCGTATTCTGAGAATACGTTTTCTTTACAAATTGTCATTGAAAAACGTATTCTCAGAATACGTGTTTCAATGAAAAACGTATTATACAAATACGTTTTTCAATAAAAATTACAAACAAAACGTATTCTCAGAATACGTGCTTTTTATTTATTTCCACAACTTTTTTTTTTTTCTGTTTTGTTCTTATCCACTTCATTTTTCTTTTATTTTTTTTTAAGTAAAAAAAACCCAAAGTTAATAATGACTTTAAGGAAGAAAAAAGTGTGACTTATTTCCTGACCGGACCCTCATTTCACCGAACATCTTGTGGATCCTCGTATCAATCACCGTAACACCAATCCTTAATGTTGGGCCCAACGAGGGCAAAACTAATAATTTATGCAATAATTTATTTATTTTCTTTAATTTCAATTTAAAATTTTACCTAAATCCCTAATAATAATTTAATTAAGGGTGTCACGCATGTCCCTGTAGGCTGTAATATGAAGGTGGGACTATTTTCAGGCCCCCCACGTAGGAATAGTTTATTTAAGTTGGATTAATTGACATATGGTCCCCTCAATGGTGTGTGTCCTTTTGCCCCTCCCATTTGGTAACTTTATAAAAAAAGCCGAAAAAACAAAAGGATTTTTGTTACGAGGAAATAAATAGATGGCATTTGCTCCTTTGCTGACCGTGTTATTACAATCAACTTTGCACCGGATATTGAAAAAAAAAAAATGGAACACAAAATCCAACCATTGAATTAATAATTGATTGGGTGGTGGTACATAGTATAACAAAAATTGGGCAAGCACGAGTAATTAGTGAATTTAAAGTGGTGGTGCCGGGGTCCGAAAATGGCAATATATATCCTTTTCCAGTTTTTGGGACCATGTACTGCCTAAATGGGGTTGGGAAATTTTAAGCATTATTAAAGGGGAGAGATGATATAGATTTTTTCAATTGCAAATGCAGTTATTTCACGGCTATTCACTTATATCTACATAAAGAATAATGTTGGAGATGCCAAGAATGGAATTATTGAAGATCCAATTATTTATGAAGGGGAAAAAAGATGAGGAGGATTTTGTGGCTAATTAAAAGCAGTCGATAGTAGGCCAAGTATTTTTTTTTTTTTTCATTGAAATGTTTAGAGTTAGTTATTCATTTTTATGTGTAATTAGATAATATATGGAGAAATGCTACAATCCCGTTACGGAATTATTCCGTCGGTATTTGTAACCGTTAGATCATCATGTAACCGTTATGGATAGTTGATCTAACGGTTACCAACCCCAACGGAATGGTTCCGTAACGGGACTGTAGAATCTCCCTAATATATGAGAATTTTACGTACATTTGCTTTACTTTTTATCCCTTTTTTTATACGTTTTTCATGCGTTAAGTCAATCTCATTTGAAATCATTTTAGAGTTTTTCCAATTCATTAAGCTATTTTTCGTCTTTTTCTCATGTGTTTTCATACTTTTGGATTTTGTTTCAGACTTTTAGAATATGTTTATTACGCAAAATGAAGAAAGAAAACATGCATTAAACGAGCAAACGAAAATTGGTACCGTGTACCAAATCCACATGGCCCGACCGAGACCGGCCACAGCTCAGCTCACTAGGTGCCCAACCAGGCGAAACCAGAAAATTAGTTGAGAGGGGACAAAAGACATGCTATAATGGATTCAGAACCGAACCCTAATGGGTTCAGAACCGATATCGAACCTATAACATTACGTTAACCGATTTTCGGTTACCATTACACATAAGTCGGTTCGATTCGGTTTATTTTCTCATCGGTTCGGTTTAGTTCGGTTGGATTTTCAGTATTCGGTCAAAAAATACCAGGAGTTGAAGTCTTTTATATGGGTCAATTAAAATTATAGAATGATAAAAAATAATATACAAAATTAATAGTAAAATAAAAGAAGTATTGAATTGTTAATTGACAATTGTGGACAAGTTGGCTAGTGAGTAACATTTAAAAATACAAAATCTGGGGGATGCAAAAATAAATTTAAAGGGGGGTAAATTAAAATTTTTAATAGAAATGCGGATTACCCATTGTTTTTTCGACGAAATCAAACATATTTTTTATAAGCATTTTCCTACAAAATAAAACATAAAGAGAGAAAGAATATGCAGAAAGTACTAAAAATGACAAGAAAACACAAAAACAAACAAAAACGACTAAATAAACTGAGAAAAACCTAAAATAAATTAAAATGAACACAAGTAAATCACTTAAAAACACGTAAAATAGCAATAACAAAAACAGACAAAACGATAACCCGTAGGCTTGAGGAGTATATATGGAATGATGTTGGATTGGATCCAACTTAATTATCTTATAATTTTGCTACAAATTCATCAATTTCAATTTTTTTTTTNCTGTTAATCCTTGAACAAGTTGACTATATCCCTTCATACTAATAGGAAATCAATTTTCAAAAGACTTTTGAGCAAATATGAGTGCTAGAGAATTTATTGGGTATGACAACGTGTGTATATACAATTAATTAGTTGTATAGTGGAATAGATATGACCCCTTTTATAATTTGTGGACATGGCATAACCAGATATATTTTCTACCCTAGGCTACTAGAACCGATTTGTTAGGAAATACCACTCAGTTTAATTCGTAAAAAGTCAAACTTAACTCATTCATAAAATAAAACATAAAATAAAAATTTAATTCAAATGAGCGGAACTTAATTGATTACACTCGATTTATTAAATGATCCGAGCCAAGCATGTCCATTTATTCACGACAGGGCCTTGTCTACCTTCTTGTATCAATGATACGCAAGCAGCTTTTATTCAAGACTTGGCCTTGCTAGATAATGTTATTGTGGCACAAGAGGTCTTCCATTTCCTAAGCAGGCACAAGTCAGATAATAATTTTTTTATGGCTATCAAGCTTGATCTCCTCAAAGCCTTTGATAAGCTTGAATGGGAGAGTGTTGAGACTAATTTTGATCAAAATGGGCTTCCATCTAAAATTTGTGACATGGGTGATGGGCTGTATAACATCCCTAACGTTCTATTTCTACCTCAATGGGCAAGTTTGTGGTTTGGTTCATCCCTCTCGTGGCATTAGGCAGGGGGATCCTATATCCCCCTACCTTTTCATCTTGGTTGCTGAATATTTCTCATGTCTTATTCTGTCTGAAAATGGTTTGGGTGGTATCAAAGGACTTAGAATCTCAAGAAATGGCCCTACTTTGACTCACCTGCTATTTGCTGACGATACCCTGGTATTTTGCAAGGATGATAGCAACCAAGCCTTTTAACTCATGGATATCCTTTTAGAATATCAATCATTTTCTGGCCAGCAGGTGAACTGGAGTAAATCAACCATATTTTTCAGTAAAAATACTCCACAACATCTGAAGAGAAGCATCTGTCACATCCTCAACAACATCTCTGTCCATAGCTCAACAAAATACTTAGGGTTACCACGGGGAATTGGTAAGTCCAAAACTCAAACCTTCTCTTTTGTTGTTGATGCTGTCAGAGGAAGAATTAACAGTTGGAAAAGTAAGTTTCTATCACCTGCGGGTAAGGAAGTTTTAATTAAAGCAATCCTAAATGCTTTACTAATTTTTGTGATGGGCTGTTTTAAACTCCCAATTTCTGTGTGTAAAGAGATTGCCAATCTCTGTGCAAATTTCTGGTGGAGTAAGGGGGAAGATCAGGCTAAGCGTATCCATTTGGTTAACTGGAATGCTGTAACAATGCCTAAGGAGCTAGGTGGGCTGGGTTTTCAGGACCTTAAGCTTTTTAATGAAGCTATGATCATGAAGCATATGTGGAGAATTGTTACAGTGCCTGATACTTTGGTGAGCAGGTTGTTGAAATCAAGGTACTTTCCTAATACTCAATTCTGTGATGCTAAAAAGAAGGAAGGTGGCTCTTGGTTATGGAATTCATGGATGGCTATAAAGCACAAATTTGATAAACCGATCCTTGTCAATATTCAGAGTGGTACCACTACCACTATCCTGGGATACCCTTGGGTTTCTTCTCTAGGATTGCACAGAATCTCTTTCAAAAATGGCATTCAAACCTTCTGCACTATGGTTAATCAGCTGCTGCTTAATGATGGAACCACCTGGAATTCTGACCTTATCACTCAGCTTTTTGACAGAGAAGTGGCTGAGGGTATTCTGCAAATTAGAACTCTGAATCCAAATGTGGATGATTGTTGGATGTGGGCTGGTAACAAGAAAGGGCTGTTCTCAGTGTCTTCTGCTTACACCAACTTGATTCAAGGCAAGCTCAACCATATGGACCAACCAGAGGGTAGCAACTCAAGACCTAAAGCTATAATGATCATAAATAGAACATGGAAGTGTTAGTGTTATATACTGAAAGCTTGGTTTTGCATGTTATTACACATTTACCCTTTATGAATGAGAATCATGTTAGAATAAACAAGTTCTACGTTCTGTTGTTCTGCACTTAGATAGGGTGGGTCGTCATCGGGCGAACCGAAGATCACTCTGTCAGTCACTTGCGAACAAGAATAGTTGTTCACAACCTAGATGGACATGAACACCCCATCCGAACGGTTGTAGTGTCAACTGTACAGTTTGTCTTGACTGATTAGTTGCACTAGTACATTTATGTATTGAACAGGATCCCAGAGAGGAGAAGTTCATTTTATACTGATCGTCGTAAATGAACTAGGCCTCGGTTAATTACTGCGTTCTCTTAACCCGTAAGATATTAAACAGGCAGATATATATAATATATATTACTTTGATTCACATGGGTGAGGTTCAGTTCGCTGGATTAATATTCCTACTGTTTTGGGTAATATTATTATATATAGGATGTGCTGTTAGGATATTTACGGTCACCATGTGCGTTAGTTTGATGATGTCCCCGGAGTGAGTTCATGAAGGATTGTTATGCTAAACCCTGCAGGTGGATTAAATTCCGGCATAATAAGAATGTGATGAACGAGCGCTAGCTTCGGTGAAATAATAATAAATTAATTAATTCTTGATTGTCAGTAATCGAATTAATTAATGGACATTATATCTTAAACGTGGGGAGGTAAATCGAGTAATTATTATTGGAGTCTCAAATGTAATTTGGGCTAGGGAAAGGGAGTGCAATAATATAATGTTGGTGGCCCATTAATATTATTTAATTAATTAGAGGAGTGGGTTTGGCCCACAGTTAGTCTAATTAATTAAGGAGCCCTTTTCCTAATCTCCTTAGGGTCCCTACTGTAGCTCTATATATACATCATTAAGCTCATGAGAAGAGAACAGAAGTCTCATTCTCACGTGAAACCATCTCTCTCTCTAGATCTCATTCGAGCTTTATCTTCTTCTTGTTGCTCCACTGGTACAAGTTGAAGAAGGGTGTATTGAGTAATACAGTAGAAGATCTGTAGGTAAACCGAGACGAAATAGATTTTGACCTACAGAACTAACCGGAAGTCCGATTGAGACGTACAGTATACCCAGACGACCGTCTCGACGAGAGCTTTCCATCGCCGCCGACGTCGCCGGAATCCGACGCCGCACGCGCCCTCACGCGCCCCCGGAAGGTGTCTGGCAGCAAAATTTCGTTTTGATCTGTTTGCATCCGTTTGATCCAGTTTTGATCTGATCTTGTTCGTGCAACCCAAGACGCGTGTTGCGGTCAATCAATTGCGGTCAACCGTTCGTGGTCAACCAGATCTACATAAATTTTAAGCCGTAAGTTCTCTACGTCAAACCTTTAGATCCGCTGCGCATAGGTTTACGTTTGCTATTGAATTCGTGATTTGTACATAACGAGATCCTCACAGATCCCAACAGGAAGTTGAAGATTAAAGGGAAACTAAAACACTTCTTGTGGAAGTGTGTAACAGGTTCTCTGCCTGTAAATGTTGGCTTAATCAGAAGACGTGTGCTTGTGGACCCACTCTACTTAGTTTGTGGTGAAGCAGAAGAAACCATTGCTCATGTCCTGTGGCATTGCAGAAAGGCTCAACATGTTTGGAGTGTGGCACCGGTTAGCTGGGACTGTTTCACTCTTCCTTCCACTTCTTTTCCTGATTGGTGGTGGAGTATCTGTTCTGTAAGTTCTAAGGAGATTGATGAAAGTAGAATCCAGTTATCTACCTATATAATGTGGTGGTTGTGGAAATCCCGCAACCTTTGGGTATTTCAGAATAAAAACCTCCCTGAGCATAGCCTTCTTAGGCAAGCTGTCAGGGAGTGGCAGGAATTTTCTCAATTTTCATAGCTTTTGTTGGCACTGGGGAGTTAATCTAGGTCTTGGACAGTTTATTAGCTCTTCTTTGTCTTAGTTCTGTTAGATGTAGTATTGGATTTTAGTTGTGTGCTGCCATTACTATTGTGCTTATTTAGACCTCCCTGTGGAGGTCTCTCATTGTCGCGCGTTTCATTCTATTGTATTTTATTAAAACCTTGTATTTGTTTCCTTATTAATGAGATTCCTATCGTNTAAAGGAGCATGTACAAGTTCGAACGTGATGTATTCAACTCAGTTTGGCTTCAATAATATCACTACTGTTATGTGTATAAAAATTCAAAATGATATTTTCTTAAGTGTTTAATTATAAAACGAATGAAAAATATATTATTAAAAATAAGTCATAATGTTTTAGTAAATTAAAAACACATTTTGTTACTTTTTTAGGTGTATTTATACGAGAAAGCTATTCATTCCCTATATGTAGGTCATCGGTGATGACAATATCGGCATCGATTGTATTTTTACACAAACTTGTAGATTTTTTGTGTTTATATAGTAATCTTTTATTCAAAAAATAGTACTGCCACGTAATTTCTTCCCGTCTACTTAAATTTGACTTATAAAAATAATAGAACTTATTTCAAATACTACTATAAGATAAATGTTTTATTAGGTAGGTCAACCCAACATATTGTTATATGATATTTCACTTAAATTGTGGAAGTCCAAATGTCATTTTATTGAATAGGCAGGTTAACCCAGCATACTTGTCATACGATATTTTACTTAAATTATGGAATTTCAAATGTTGTTCATTGAATATGCTATGCAAATTATTGAAATTAACTTATATATTTCACATATTCAAATATCATTCATTTAAAAGTTAACAAGTAATTGATATATTTCACATATAAAGTAATAGAAATAATATAAATTAACCTTGCTTTAAAACAAACATTAAAACATGAAGACAAAGAAGAAAAAATGACAAAGTAAGCTATAACCACACAAAAATACATATGAAAAGTTTGAGTCATATCCAAAAATATGTATAATTTTTTAGTTTAATATAAAATAAATTGAAATTAATATGGACAACATAATTTTATCATGAATTAAATTGATAAAACATGGGCTAAAATATATTTTTACTACTACATATTTAGATAAAACAAAAAAATAAGATTGTACTAGAGCCTGGGTGAGCCACCGGCCCTATTACGCCCCTAATTGTGAAGTGTATGGTTTATCATTAAGTTCAAAAAATATTAAGTAATAGTTAGAGTAATACCAATCAGCCCTTTAATTATCATCTTGTTTTTTTTTTTCCCCCCAAACGTTAAATATATTGAACCACTCTAATATACATAGTTTAGCCAAAGGGCTAAGTACAGAGAACAAACGGAGAGACATCAGACCACGATTTCTCCCTGCAAGACCAAGCCAGGCCATAAAGAAGCTACCAAAAGGAAAGAAAAAAAAAATATAGACGACCATAAAAACCCTAAGATCATCACTAACAAAAGCAACAGCGAGGACTAGACTACAACTAGAAAGCAAAATTAACAGTTCATAAACCATATACAATTAACCAAGGAGCACCAATTAATTGCACAAGCCAGCCACATTGAATCAGAAAAATAAGTCCTCTGAAGCATAACATATGAAGTCTAATTAGCACTGGCAATGCTTGGATCACCCTACTCCTTTAACTTCAATGTCAGCTAGAGAACAAAGAATCCAGAAGACTAAGAAATGCCTTAATTACCCGGGAGGAGTTCCTTTCTTTAGGATCCTCATACCATAATCAGAGTACTCCAACCATGCAGCTTTTGCTTGTTTAACTATTTGGGGCTCCGAGGTAAACTCCTTTCGAAATAGCCAAGAATTACGAGTTTTCCAAAGCCACCACATGATGTAGGCGGATAAAGAAACCCTCTCCTCCCATGAATCAGCTCCTTTCATGAGGCACAAATCCTCTGACCAATACTGAAAGGACACTTCTTTCTCACTTAAATACTCCCAGTGCAGGCCAGTTATTTTCCAGACACTCCTTGCTTTGGTGCAAAGAAACAAAATGTGTTCCAGTGTCTCCTCATGTTCTCCACACCATTCACAGATAGAATCAACAGACAAGTGTCTGGATTTTAGCTTCTCCTTACAGCTTAGGAAACCATACCAACATCTCCACACAAAGTTTTTTATTTTGTTTTGAATTGGGAGTTTCCATGTAACTTTCCATACCTTTTGCATTCTGGCTCTGCTCCCACTGGATTCCCCTACAGCAGCAGTAAGATGATGTGCATTTTGCTTACTGAGAAGGATGGTGTTGTAAGCATCTTTTACAGTAAAGTGACCTTTGGGATTTTGGTGCCAAACCAATTTATCTTTGTGCCCTTCTCTGCTGATTGGGATTTGAACAATACTGAGGCTTCGATGGTGTGAAGATTTGGTATATAAGGTCTTCATCCCACTGTGTCCCCTCTGCATTCATTAAATCTGAGAAAAAAACAAGATTTGATTTATCAGAGTCAAAGCAACAGTGTGACTTAAAATCAACAGCCTCAGGGACCAAAGGTGAAGTCTATATAGAAATGGCTTTGCCACTGCCCACTTTGTATCTCAGCCCTAGCTTCAGAAATTTTCTAACTCCAAGCCAAGATTTCCATAAACAAGAAATTATCATCTTGTTCATTATTGCTAAAATTCCCCAACCAACCACCTCAAAGTTTCTAACCCACATTTTCATTTAGCATGTCAAAGTAAAGCACTTTGCAAGCACGGGTAAGGGGGCCCTCGTTCATAGTAAGTTAGGTCACTTAATTAATTAGTGCTATTGTTGTTTTAATTATTTGTGACCAAAAGGAATTATCGACACAGTCAATTATTTTTTTCTCCATCCCAAGTAGCAATATTGTACTTTGTGTAAATTTAACATCTACCATCAATCTATTTTTCACATATCTATGATGGTGTAAATTTAACATCTACCATCAATCTATTTTTCGCATATATGTATGATTCGATTATATGGTGATTGTATGGATCCTTTTGGTAATTATAGTGCAGTCATCAATTTTTTTGTCGATGAATTAACATATACATATATATATTCACACAGATGTGTCGATCCAATTGTTAAAAATTCAGTGAATATATCCATCCTATTTTCAACCACAACTCACAAGGATTGCCAAATATATTTTGAGAGAAATAGAATTTTTGGTTGAATGATCAAAATAATTCACGCATAGAAAGAGTTTGGTGAGAAATAAATTTTGGGAGTTTTGAGCTAAGAATATCTCTAGATAATTCTGAAAGAATATAGATCAATTTAGGTGAAATAGACAAGGCCAAAAAAGCAGTACCAATTTACATTGACACTATGAAATATGGTGTGCGAATTAGGCCTAACATTTGGAGCTCACAACTATAAATTTTGCTAGCGTAGAATTGGGCATTATTTGACGATCTTCTGTATTCAGATTTGATGCATTATTGGAGTTTTTTCCTCAATTTTTTCTTTTTTTCTTATTCATTTTCTTTACATAAGTAATTAAGACATTCAAAATTGTACCTAACAAGTACTACAGAACACATTAAGTTACGTGGATTTTTTTATTTTTTTTTTCAAACTAAAAAATGATTTTGTTACCATACGAGTCGAAATTATTTCTCTTTTATCCTCTTTATCAACAGTAAGTTCCAATTAGTAGTTGGAATTGTTGTAACACATTTGGTAAGATTTCACCCTATGTGTGGTGTATAGTGATTTTTCACAGTTGGATTAGTACATATTCGCTTTGACTATGCATGTAATTACTTTAAATATGTTTTAGGTACTTTGTATTTGTATTTCTTTGGAAGTTTTGGAGAGGATTTAATAGATAAAAATTTGTATCATTTAATATATAAGAATAAATGTTATGTTTACATTTGAAGAACATAAAATTAAAAGTTAATGTCCAAATCGCCCCAAAAGGTTAGTAATAAAACGTGAAATGCTCTAAATCACTGTACCAAAATTTGTATTTTAGCCTTCAAATATTATATATATATGAATTATGAAGAACCATGTATCTTATAATGTTGTCTGCATGTGTCCAACACTCAATTGAAATGTTATGCCGAAAAAGGACAACTGAAATTATTAAATCGTATGGAAAGATACTGTACGCACTGTAGCTACACCTCAATTTGATGGACTCTGCCAAATATAGGTAGCTAATTAGACGTGTATTATTATCAACTAGGTATTAAATAGTGTTGACAATAAAAGAAGCAAAAATCGAAAGTCAGGCGTCCTTATAAATGAAGCTTTTATTTCATCCATGTATGCAAACAGAAAAATACTAGTAACCAAATTTGTTCATAAATAATGCAATCCCTCATTTATATTTATATTATGTATCATATCGTACGTACATCTATAATTGCCTGCGAAAATTGCCAATAATAGTGTTTTCACATGCAAATATGAAATGGTAGTACGCAGTCATATTTAATTGCAGAATGATGAAAATGGTTAGGCATACTACGTTAAATACCGCTAAAATATCGAAAGATAACCTCGATCATATGTGAATGTTTTAGAATGAAATCACAAATAATCTAAAGTAATAAATTGCAGTTAAAAAATCAGAGTGGATTGGATAAACCAATTAGGAGAAATACTATTTACTCATTTCATTATTTGATGGGTGTTTAACCTTATGCCAAACAATAAATCGCTTTAATTCAGGAGCGATCATAATATTAAATAATCGAGAATCATAGCTGAAAAATGGAAGCGCACTCAATAAATTATATTGATTGATTCATTTGGAACTCAAATTTGAGATTTAGAGTTGAAGATCATCCAAAACATCGTGAATATTTTCTCTCCTCTCCTGACGTAATAAAGAAACTGATGAAGAGAAGACATTTTCTCTTTTTATATCTTCATGAAGAATTCCAAGAGCCCCTTTTTATTTATCACGGTTTTTTAATTTTAATTTGACCCAAATTATTTGCTAATTAGGTTACTTAAGTTTAATATTATTATTCGTTACGTCATCACGTAATAATATTACTAGGTGTCCATATTTAATCATTCCACAATTAAAGTTAAGTTTCTTAGCCAATATCACTTAGTTTGTCTTATAAACATAATGATTCAATGTATCAATTACACATATTTAATCTCAATATAGATCTAACAATCTCCCACTAGATTTAATATGTGTTCTAATAATACATTATACCTTATCAGCTCGAAATATAGTAATTATTACAAACTTGAATAATCTGGTCCATTAATCACAACAACATATGACTAAATTAAGTGGTTTTCACTGTATAGACACAACTAAAATATCAATAATCACATATATCACCATGATTAAATGACATAGATCAAACTATGGATCATGTGACATGAAAATAATATGAATGTGATCCTCACATGTCAATTCTCAATTAGTCCAAACTTAATGAGACCGTAAAGTACTAAAACATAGTGCGCAAAGTGTCATGAACCAAAACTTTATTTCTGATTAGAAAGTAGTTTATATATCATCGAATAAAAATGATAAGAATGTAGCATATACTTCCACTAATGTGAAACTTCATCAATATGTAACACACCCATATGAACAATATGCTTGTGAAATACCATTGGTGTTACACCCTTAGTTAGGGGATCTGTTAACATAGATTTTGTCCCTAAGTTTAATATTAATCTTTATTACGTTATCAAATAATAATATTATCGGGTGTTCATATTTAATCATTTCACAATTTAAATTAAGTTCCTTAACCAATATTTCTATACAATAATTTGATCACTTAATTTGGCTAAATAACATAATGTCCCAGTGTATCAATTACGCATATTTAATCTTAAAATAGATCCAACATTATTTTTTTTTTCCCAAATTTTCAATACAAATTTTGTAATTACTAATTATTATTCTATACTCTATCACATAACAATTAACATTTCTAGACATTATAGAAAATTAATTCTTCCACTTAAGTTTATTATTAAAAACATCCAAATGAGTCATATCACTACGAAAAATATCAACTTCCAAAGTAAAATTCAATGGAAAAATATTATTGTAGAAATTCTTACGACTATTTCAATATTATAACTTTTATTTAAAATTTTCAATTGATATCCCAACAAGGTCAATAATGATATTTTCTGTTGGAATTAATTTCATTTTCTTGAATTGTAGTTGGAATTAACACTCAAATAAAACATTTCCAACGGTTTATACAATTTTTGTTGGATTTATTATTTTCTCGCCAATAAATTCAACTGTTAGAATCGCCAAAGTATGACATAAATTTCAATGGAATTTGACCAATTCCTGCTGAACATTTTCGTTGAAATGGTTGTTGGAATTTTTTGATAGAAGTTATAACTTATCATTTGAATTATGTTGGAACATATTATAGTTGGAATAACTAATTTTTAAACTAAAAATTATATTGAAAAATGTAAGTGGAGAAAAAGGATCAAAATTGAAATGAATGAATATTGTAGTTGAAATGGATGAATATTATATATATTTTTGTTAATTTGATGTTGAAATGAATATTCGTTGAGTGTGTCTTCCAAGGTAGTCCTTGTAGTTTGATCGTTATTTGTTCGGATCTTTGTATGTTTGTTCGAGTTGTTTAATAGAATCTCTGGAATTAGTTCATAAACCAATACATTTGACCACTAAATTAGCATTAGTTAAAGTCAAACTCGAGCCTCAAAGAAATCTAATCAGCGAATTCACCTTTGAAGATCCAAATTCAATTCCAGAAGAGAAAAATGGAAAGGTTTATATAAAATTGTACCCAGAATTCCATTTAATTCAATATAACTCATTTCGTGCATTTACTTTATATTTTCCTACAAAATCCATCATCACATATGGAAAGAGCTTCATTATTGAATTTGTGTTGAGGTCCCTCAAGTAAGAGATAAATATATGAGTTTTTCAAACAAGAAGCTAAGCAAAGCAATTATTTACGAGGAGAAAACCAAAATCTCCAAAAAATATATTTCTAACCTTGCAGCAACCATATTACTTTATTATCTACTGCTTTTGCTGATTTTTTCCCCTCATTTTTTTTTTCTTCCTGTCAGCAACCATATTGCTTTTTAGTATCACTCAATAAACACCAACGTTGCCATCATTTCAATTATAGATTGAATGACAATTCAACAGATTTTTTTGAACTTTAACTATTATTATACATATGATGCATATGTTTCAGCATTATGAAATAATTGTTTTACTTTATAGAGCAAGATATTGCTGGACTAAAGTAAACTTGCTAGCTGCAATGATAGTACATGATATGATATCTTTGCTATAATATTTCCACGCAAGCCTTGTATTTAAATTAACCAAAAATGGTACACTAAAATGGACTTTCAAACAAATAATCTGACGCCTTAAAGCTGTTAATGAAAGCATTATACAAGACTACAAGTTGTATGTTACGAAGAATATGCAAAAGTATAGAGTATGCCAATAAAATTTGATATTTCTCTCTAATAAAAATATAAATTATTCATATATCTCATGTTCTTCTCTTCTCCACTTTTTAAAATAATTTTAAAATAAAAATAAATAATTTTAACTAGAATTTATAGAAACTGTTTACCGATACACATATTATACTTATTAATTATTATTTTTGCATCATACAATGACTCACTAGACCTTCAACGGACAATACTCTTTCCCAAATTTGGTTTGAAATTTGTTGCAACACTACATTATTGAAACTAGTACGTGGCCCGTGCGATACACGGAAA